AGGAAGTGGGGTGACGTGGAGGGTGACGTGGAGTCCACATAAACATATTTTACGCGTTGGTATACCACGTCAGCTGTTTTCCGTTAATTAACATGCCATGTAAGTCAAAATTTAACGAAGGGACCAAAAAGGGGCCGGATTTGTAAACAGTAAGGATCAAAAAGGGGATTTTTTCGGTATAGGGACTAAAAAGGGGCTTTTTCCTATAGTAGAGGGACCAAAAAGGGTATTTAACCTTTTAAATTTTACCCTTCACATCATCAAAAAAAATATAAAAAATATCACGTGGACGGAGTTAACGGTCCAAATTAACAGAAGGACTAACGGTGTGCATTTTTTAGAGTTGAGGGATCAAAAAAGTGCAAAAAATTATTGAGGGATCAAAAATATTCATTTCTTAAAGTTAAAGGACCAAATTTAACATTTAACCTTTTATCTATAATTGATACCTCATATTCTTATCTTCTTATCTTCATTTTTTTTTTATGGCAATATATTTAATTAAAGTGTTAAAACGATAATGATCCTGAAATCAAGTGTCGTATCCTTTTTTAAATTTGTTTTCTTTTTTCTCAACAACTCGGCTCCGCCTAAAGTATTCACATTCTGCCGGATTATATGCCATCCTACATGATTACGCTTTCTCCTTCAATAATTTATCTTTAACAACTTGCAGCCAGGCATCCATACGTGACGAAGACTTGCGCCCTCCAATTCCTGTTGTGGTTGTTCACAACAGCACGTGAATTAGTATCCATCTACTATTTATTCATTTGATAGGAAAAACGACTCTACTTTTAAGTCTTTCTTTAATAATTAATTTTGTATAATCTGGTGCAAAAATGACTATTATTCTTTCTGTTCTGTTTCCCTCTCGTTGAAAATTCAGCTGAACGGGGGCTCTAGGCGGTTGGGTTTCTTGCGCAGCCAGGTTACGTATAAAATTCATACATCTCCTTCCTTAAATTTTCGTCTAAGACTAATTTAATCTTTGGTTGATTCAAGCTATAGTAATCTCTTTTGTGATTGATTCTCGAAGCCCATCTCGGATTTTCTTCCTTTATGCCTTTCGCTGTTGTTTCTTTGTGTTTATGAAATTCACAAGAAATTGAGGATTTTATAAAGGTCAAATATAGAAGAAATTTCAAGGGTCGGTGTTTTTTTGTGAAAATAGTCATTCTCCCAGCCGTCATCTGCTTTTAGTCGTGGTTTCGTATCAGCAATGTTTGAAATTTCTTTTTTTGTTAAACATTTAAAACACCCCATAGAAAGAGATTTTGTTTGCATTGCACATCTGCAGAAATAAAGAATTTCCCGAAATTTTAAGGTATCTGGGCATGTTTAAGCAGTTTGATTTTTTACTTGATGTGAAAATGGGTTGCTGATAATCTTTCTTGTTTGTAGATTTGTTGGTGTTGTTTTTGCTGATGGGAGGAAGAAGCTCGAAGGGATCGAGTGGAAGGCGCAATTCACCAAGCACGAGTTCTGGGACTTCATGGAATCAATATGGGTATCCTCCACAATCGCCATATCCCCAGGAACGGCCCTATTATACTCCTCAGCATAGCTACGCGCCGCAGCCATCTTACAGTCATAGGCCGCAGACGCCTCAGCCACATAAGAGATTGGACACTAAATACTCCAGGATAGCTGATAACTACAGGACTTTAGACCAGGTTAGCTCATAGCTGTTTAGTTAAGTTTTGATGTGTTTCTTAATTGCTTATGTATGGTGAAAGGAAGGGCTTGGAATTAGAGAATGATGGGAATATGAATATGAATGAAGTCTTTGACCTTCAGACATAGACAACATTGTGAATTAATATAGGATGTCAAAAATATGTGAACAAGAATGAGTTTTGCTATGTAAGTTTTTAGACTTTGGGCAATGGTTGCCCTGGAAGTAAACATATGTGAACAAGTTTTTTGTTGTATACTTTTTCTGTCAATAATAGTATGTTTAAAAATATTTTCAAAATATATGGGTTTTTTTTTTTTTTGGGTTCAAAGTGAAGGAAAATGATGAACAGAGTGAAATGGTAAAAGCATAATTTACAGAATTTTTCCTAGTTCCAAAATAAGGGTTTAACTATTTCAGATGACTTGTCCATTGAAAAACTCAGAAGTTTGTTGGACTGCAAAATAATGTGATAAATGATCTTGATCACAGGTTACTTCTGCTCTTGCTGAAGCAGGCCTTGAATCGTCCAATCTGATTGTTGGTATTGATTTCACCAAGAGCAACGAGTGGACAGGTTTAACTCCCATCTGATACCTATTACTTACAATCTCCTGAAATTTAGCATGCTTACTTCTCATTGAAAATCAGGTGCAAGGTCATTCAACCGAAAAAGCTTGCATTACATTGGAAATGGTCAAAATCCTTATGAACAGGCAATATCAATTATTGGGAAGACTTTATCCGCTTTTGACGAGGACAATTTGATTCCATGTTATGGATTTGGAGATGGTAATTTCCTTGAAACCATTTCTCAATTATTGTCCATCTTTTGAATTCGATAATGGATTATGAAAATGATGTTTGTGTTTTTTCTTCTAGCAACTACGCATGATCAAGATGTCTTCAGTTTCCTTCCAGAAGATAGATTTTGTAATGGATTTGAGGAAGTGCTCTCACATTACAGAGAAATTGTCCCCCAGCTTCGACTTGCAGGTACCTGCTTTTATTCATTGCATTGTCTACTAATATTTATAGCTTTCTCAAGTCCAACCTGATGCTCTTAAATTTTGACGATGATGTATTCTTGTGACAGGACCAACCTCTTTTGCACCCATAATTGAAATGGCGATGTCTATTGTTGAGCAAAGTGGTGGTCAATATCATGTGTTGCTGATAATTGCTGATGGACAGGTAATTTGCAAATTCCTCTGAACTCCTTAGAGCATTTTTAATGTACTTGCAATAAGAGAACAATAAATTTTGGGGATATGGTCCCATTTACTAAGATTCAAAACACTTTCTTTTCTTACTAGGTGACAGGAAATGTTGACACACAGCGTGGTCAGCTCAGCCCACAAGAGCAGAAGACAATTGATGCAATCGTAAAAGCAAGGTATTTATCAATAACTTGCTGCTTGCTTTAGGTTTCTATGTACAGACTAACAGTGGCCATTATTTTGCAGTGAATTCCCCTTGTCAATTATTGTAGTTGGGGTTGGAGATGGGCCTTGGGACATGATGAGGGAGTTTGATGACAACATCCCTGCACGTGCCTTTGATAATTTTCAGGTCAGTAGTTTTTGGTGTCATTTAATTGTTCAAAACTTAACTTTGCTTGTTTGCATCTTAGAATGTGTTAATAACAACTTTACTATTGTCTTGCTAGTTTGTAAATTTTACAGAGATTATGTCAAAGAATTTGGATTCATCTAGAAAGCAGACAGAGTTTGCTCTTTCAGCCTTGATGGAAATACCTTCTCAATATAAAGCCACTCTTGAGCTTGGCTTATTGGGGTAAGTTTTTTCATTTTGTGACTGTTGCAGGTAAAAAAGGGTTCTTTGACCACTGCTATTAATTAAGTTTTAACCCTCATTTGGTTTTTTGATTAATAAAGCAGAAGAAGGAATGGAAATGCTCCAGACAGGGTTTCTCTTCCCCCTCCTCTTCATGGTGCAGCTTCTTTCCAGAGCCCAAAAGCTTCACGATCAAGCAGTTTTCAACAGCATGGATCTTCTTATTCTCACTCAAGCAGTTTTCAGAAGAGTGCATCTCCTTATTCTGGATATGATACTGCACCCAGTGCTGGTTCATCTTCAAGCTATGATAATCAGGTATATTAACTTGTTCCATACAGACAAGTATGGTTTGTTTTAATTTTGTCTCTTTCTCCTCTACATTGTTGTGTTGCCAGCATTGAGGGCAATTGAAAAGTACTGATTGTTTTTCTACCTCTCAAACTGAACAGCTTTGCGCCATATGCCTCAGTAATCCAAAGGACATGGCATTTGGCTGTGGCCACCAGGTTAGTTATACCTCTGATCCCTAACTTTATAATGAAAATTAAGTCACATTCGATATATTTGACATTGGTTCTTTCTCTGTTCATCCTTCGATTGACAGACTTGCCGTGATTGTGGAGAAAACCTCATTTCCTGCCCCATTTGTCGGAGCACCATCCAAACCAGAATCAAACTTTATTGATCAGGGTCTGTAATTACTTCTTTGATTTGGCAAAAGCAAATCAAAACAGCTTCTTTAAAAGAGGCTGGGAAAGGTTAGCAAATTATGAAGTTCTTTTCCATTGCATTTGTTATGTTTCTCCTAAGGAAAATGCAAACTAGACAGACTCTTTTGACAAAGACAAGCATAAACTAAGCAGTTCTAAATTGTTTACCAGGTGTTGTATCTAGATGCATTGGTTTTAAGAAGTTGAAATGATCATCAAGTGGAGTTTTAAGGAAGAGTTAAGAATGGAAAAGTAGATGGCGTATTGATATTGGAGGACTCTTATACTCAAGACCTTTGATTAGTATCTGGAAACTGATTCCTGAACTTGAAGATGAGGATGAGATTTTTTCCGGTCTAGCTATATATCAGAACTGTGTAAATAGAAGAGAGTACACATGTAATTCTTTTATTAGTTGTCTTGATTGATTCTTATCTCTCTTTTTTAAACTTTCCAACATTATTTTGTTAAAGGGTTAGGTTAAGCACTGGTGAGGCATTACGATGTTCTGCTTGTTTTTGTATTTCTGTATTCGGATTTGGTATATATGAAAAGAAATTTGGGATCATTAAGCACCTTATTCCTTTTTTCGACCAAAGAAAGAGGCACCTTATACTTTTTAGATCATTAAGCACCATACACAATAAGAGATAGATAGGCTATATTTAGTTTAGCTGTTAGAAACAAATAATTATAACTGATAATTAATAGAACATTTAATATTTATTACTTATAGGCTAATGTTTCTAGATGGGGTGTTATGGGAGTTGAAGAAGTTTAAGATGAAGAAGACGTAATATTAAGAGAGTGATCTCATGCCCTTGCATGCATGAGAAATGCGTAATGCCTATCCTCGAATGCGTAATGCCCTTGGATGTGATATCACATGTCAACAACTGCAAATTATCCTAACATGATTTCATTTGTCATATTCTCTTCTAAAGAATTCTGCGTTTCATGGCACGTTACAAGACACAATGTAGCCATGAGGTGTCTTTCCCAAAAGAGACAACAAAGAGAAGAAAAATCAGTTTCACAATTAATTTTTAAAGTATATTAAAAAATGAAATATACAACAAAAAATAATCCTTATTTTCTCTTATCTCTCCCTACGCACGTCAAAGTTCGAGTTTGAAATTTCTAACTTTAAATTTTAAATTTTTAACCACTAAAAATACTCCTAATTCTACAATTAATAGTAATATCCATTTGATTGATGATAATATGAATCTTGATAATCTCTGCTTGATTGATGATAGTATGAGTCTTGATAATTTCTGCTTGATCGATGATAAGAATAATCTCTGCTTGGTGGATACGAATCTGGGTATTCCTGGTCAGGCGTTATTACACTTGATAGCAAAGAAGTTTTCAACGATCGACCCACTGGCTCCTGAAGGAATCTTTTGTCCTCTATGTAAGTCTGAATCTCCACAATTATAGGCTTTAACTCTAAGTCTTCTCGAGCTCTAAGGGCATTGAGGAAGTTATCAGAGATGATATTTAGGATCTTCCTAAACTGGGATTTATATTTTCCAAAGAGTGCATAGCCTGCCATCTGCCAAAAAAAAAAAAAAAATCATAAATTTTCATTTTCACTCACATGAAATTTGCATCTCACTACTAGTTTAACAAACAGTGTGATAGAACGAAGATTTTAGCGATGAATTTTAACCGTAGAAAAATGTAAAATAAATAAATAATAAAAAATAAGAACCCCTCCAAACAAACATAAAGCTCTTAAGGACAGGTAAAATAGATTAGCTATTATTGATGATGATGGTGACTCTCCTCTTGGCATGTGCACTTGTGTGCTCCTTTTGGCTCAAATTCAAAATGACATGAAAATTTTCATCAACT